TAGCTGATAACCTGCAAAAGTGTGTCACTTGCTCAAAATGGATAGTTAATTCCATATAAGCAAGTATTGATGTCAATGAAAGTGTCAGTGTCATCAAGATGAAAAGTCCTGAAACCATTGTTTATGAACTAGATAGTCATATGGCTTTGTCATGTTTTCATTATAACAGTTTACTCTGTATAGTTTTTCCAATGCAAAAAAGTCAGATTTTGGTGAAAATGCTCAAGACAGCACTATATACTATTTGCACAGTCATTTAAAAACTACAGTAAAGTTAGACATCACTGCGTTTAGTGAGGTATCTGAGTACAAGACACTGAATATGTATGTTTCACATTTTTACTTTGCAATTCTAATTTATTCACAGCATTGTGCAAAATAATAAATAAACCTTTATTTACAACAAACATAAGCCCCCTTTGGGTAGAGTTGTGCATTACTGTAAATAATATTGCAGTACATATTGGAACTGAACCTACAACATACATAGGTTAGTGAATCATTCATGAAATTGTTCAATTTAGAATTTTTGTTTAAGTTTATAAAAAATGCTTGACAGATTTCGACAACTAGTTCAAGATTTTTGTATGTAATGACACAAGTTTTGTAATGAGGACTATTAGTTTTATATGGAATGACTATTCAGCATTCACAAGTTTAGTTAGTTTTGACTGACATGACGTAAGTGAATGATAATGTTATAAACAGCAGACAGTTGTATGAAAGCAATTCATGATATGTATTGTATGGATTATGTATTGGATGAATTATGTAGTGTATGTCACTATTACTAAATTAAATTTAGTTTTTAATATATACACACATACAGTTGAAGTTAGAATTATTAGCCCACCTGTTATTTTTTTATTTATTTTTTTTAAATATTTCCAAACTTATGTTTAACAGAGAAAAGAATGTCTGATAATATTATATATATATATATATATATACATATATATATATATATATATATATATATGTGTGTGTGTGTGTGTGTGTGTATCACATTCATATTGTGTCATGACATGACAACTAACTATAAAATGACTTTTTAGATGAGCAAACAAAACCCTTGAGTTATAAACTGGGGTTTTTGAATACTTAAAATGTAATGCATAGGCCATTGTAGTATGTTTACTTGTCCTTTTCAGGGAACCCTTGATTTTTGTATATGGTTAATGTGCTAAATATTCTTCAAACTTTGTATTATATATATTTTATAGCATTTTTATATTATAATATGCAATTTAGAATTGTTCCTTTAAGATCACTAAAATATTTATTTTATTTTTGCAGTTATTATTGTCCTTTGTGCAGTATGTATAGGTGTTTTGTGCAGTATATATGTGCAGAAGTGTATTAAGAATGACACCTAAGAGTTAAAGCAAGGGTATGACCGCAGACGTGTTGTAGGAAGGTTCCTCTGGAATCTGAAATGAATGGTGGCTGTATCCTAACTGTGGAAACCACCAGAATCATAAACATCCATCATAACCACTGTCAAAGACCATATCTGGTGGACAGTTGTAGTCTCTGTAAGGGACAGAGTTGTAGTCTCTATAAAAACATCTATTTTTTTTTTTTAAGTATTTTAGTTGTAAATCTTGTTTTATGCACTACAATTAAGTAGTGTTCATTGTGTCTTCATTTCAGAAACACTGCAGAACAAAGACACCCTTCACCCCTGTGTTTGCTGTATCGCTAAGCTTTGCATTTCAGCTGAATGGAAACGTTTGTGCCTGTTCTCCGTTTGGTTTTTTATCGTATGACCACATCTGTACTTGCATTCCTCATTACACAGACTTTAACTTTGCAGGACTTGACATTTCATGTTGGATTTCCAACTAAACCTGTTTCTCCTTGGCTTCTCTCGTTCCTCGGTTTCAAACCTGGGGGCATTAATCCTCTTGTACACACCAGAATATTTCCCGTAATTTAACATGACAATGTTAGCCTCAGCACCTGCTATCCTGCTTGTATTCGCAAACTCGCACAAGGGTCCCCCTTTTATGCAGCTGTAATCAGCAGTTGAGGGTACCAAGCAGGATCTTCTCTGAAATGGGACCGGGAGGGTCTTCCTTTTGTCTTCCCCAACCAGACGTGCTTCAGACAGGCCGCTAGCGTAGGATGGACCCCTGCATTCAACAATGGCCATGCTGGACTCCCCGCCGCTCAGAGGAGGTATAGACATGAGCTGTTGTGACAGTTCTGGTGCGAGAAGCACAATGAGATTGTAGTTTGGGGGGATTCACCAAGTTTAAAAAAAGATAGTAAGACCATGGACAATATGCTCCTATGTGAGTTTTCCAATAATGATAGTTTATATGTATATATAATTTGTGCAAGAAGTGAAAATCAAAACCTGAAATCAGTTCATATAAAAGTTATGCTTTGTTTGTTTGTATTAGGGCAGGTTATGAATTAAAAACCTTAAAAAAGTTATAGTTTTAAGTAGAAAACAAATAAACAATACAAGTAATGTTTCTGCTGTCTGTCAAATCACAGCAAGAACAAAAGCCAATTAAGCTCTTCCATCTTCTCTTGTCAGAGCTGATGCCTGTTAGTGGTTGGTAACTGTCTCTGTGCGTTTGGACAAAATGCACAATTTGGTTTAGGATTTGAGTGCACACACGCGCACTGACACACATACACACACACCACTCAATTTGAAAAATGCACTGATCCTGCATTGATGGAGCTACAAGATGAGATGAACTGTCTGGGGATAAGTAGGTCAGCAGAGCTGAGGTAAGCCCTCTGAGAACAGCCATGTTTCAATAATAACCCCACTGCTGACGTGTATATATATATATACATATATATATGTGTGTGTGTGTGTAGTGTGTCTTTACACATCTCCCAAACCTCTCTGTATCATAGTTACGGTGATTTAATGCTCAGCTCATTGGTTTGCCAAACAGCAAACCACTATTCATTACCAGCTCAGCATGTTCAGTTCCGTTATTATGCGGTTAAGCACCTCATCAATTCCATTGTCATTGCGGCTACGCTGTTTACACGCTACCCAACATACAAAATCAAATAATCAAAGGAAATAACCCAGATAAGTAGGCAAACACTGGATGTAAGCCGAGGTAAATGGATGATGGGACCTCTAGGAAAACTTCCAATTTCCTAAACATCTGCACTTTAAATTTCTTACCTGCCATTTTATAGCCCAGCAAGTTAACTTACCGTAAAAGATGAACTGTGGAGATATGAGTGCTTTTTGTGCGTTAGAATGAGTGTGTTTGTGTGAGGGGGATGCTGGGCCAGTGGTGAAATGTAGTTGGTATATAATGGATTATTGATTGTTAAGAGAGAGAAAGAGAGAGAGAGAGAGAGAGAGAGAGAGAGAGAGAGAGAGAGAGCGGCCCTCAGGGTCTATCCCAACTGGCCCCTCTCTTTCCCAACACTGAATAGTGTCTTTACGGCTCAGCACACACACGCACACATCCACACATGTACACACAATGAATTTAGGACTGAGCGGACAGTTACAGCTCAAACCGAATATGAGAGAAGACTAACTGAGACTTAGTGTTGTCCTTCAGGCAAAGATTCACCCAAACACTTATATACATACTTGATTATATGGGAGATGGGATTTATATATAATAAAATAAAACCTGATTTGTCATCATTTTCGATATTATGCAAGATATGTATTCAAATACTAGCTCTAAAATTACATTGGTGTAGCTGTTTTGACATCAACTGAATGAAAGGAAGAAATGACGGAAGAAAGTAGTTCTACATACAAAAGGATTTTTAGGCGCACTGTGTTTGATTCTCTTTTTTTATATGCACGATTATGCCATTAAACAGTTGTAATCACTGCTGGGACACTAAGACGCAATGCACGCTTCCCACCAGTGCAGATATATAGCCTTATCGCACTGCTACTCGTGTGATATTGCTCACATATGGGGGCACATGTTGTATACGACCACATTGGGTATCTGCTGTAACACAGATATACAGAATTGTAGTTAAATTTAAGCATGAACAATTAATCTTTAATTATTAAAGTGAAAAATGTCAAAACATTGCATAAATATTATTAATAATACTAATACAATTTTAAATTCTTTTGACAAAATTTCCTAACATTACTAAGTTTCCTACTATTCCCTACTAGTTCCCTATTATAGTGTCTACTATAGAGTAGAGTTTGTATGATTATATGTATTTTTTTCTGTCACAAAGTGCACAAACTAGCCAACACACTGGTCAATATTAGAATAAATAAAAACATTGACTGGAATAACCAATTTTAAGATTGCCAAAATGAAAAGAATGATTACTATGTTTAGATTTAATTGAATGCAAAAAAAAAGAATGGCAGGAAATCCTGATTCTGGACTGGGTGTGTATGCTTTTGTAGATTTGCAACAATTAATACCCTGCTTGTTGTTGTATTGAGCAGAGTATTCACTGTATCTCTATTCAATGTCTTCTTACAATAATCATTTTGGGTAAAATGTGAGTTTAAGCAATGCTTTAAGATGTGTGGTTCTCTCTGACTCTTAAATGAGGACATCAGCAGTCTCTCTCCCTTTGTCTCTTTGTCCCTCTCCCACTCACTTGTAAATGGTGCAGAGCATAAAACTCAATGTACTATGTCTGCTGTATTCAGCTATGCAGTATGGATCCTGCCTTAAACGAATAGTTTGGACTGAACAAAAGACTGTCAGATGACATTATATAAAAGAACTCTGTTAGCTGGGGGTTGTCTGAAACACTGGACCTAAGTTCTCTCCTTCTAAAGATATGTATCTCTACAGCTTTTGGAAACAACACTTAATTCATAACAGAACATGATTTATAAAAAGATTGATTCAGACAGTAATTTTTCTAAACAAAAATGCGCATGTCCTTCATTTGCTTGTAACTGTTCATTCACATAGACTAAATAGATTAATGAATAAACCATTTTTTTTCTAATTTGCAAGCCTTGTTCTCAAATTTGTTTCTTTTCTGTCTCCATTTCCTCTCAGGTGACCAGAATGAAGCAAACCCTCAGCTGGTAAGATGATTCATTGGAGAAAAAGCTCCAGACATATTCCAGACAAAACCAACACTGTCAACACAGAATTTCCAACAATGACACGTTTGACAAAGAGAACTTTTACTCAGACCGAATGACTACAGGCGAGACAGACTTAATAGAATCTAATAAATTGGACAACAGATAGCAGCTCAGTGGAAATTTCAAGCCTTGAAATGGAGGTGGAAAGGCCAGAAGTCTCAGAACAAGAGCCCTTCTCCAAGGGTGGCCATGACAACCCTGATGTCAAGAAGAGCCGGGGACACACTTGTGAACTCTGTGGAAGAAGTTTTCCTTTCCTCAGCTCATTGTCCCAGCACATGAGAAAGCACACCGGGGAGAAACCCTACAAATGTCCTCATTGTGAGCACCGCTCAGCCCAAAAGGGCAGCTTAAAGGCCCACATACGCAGCCACAAACTGGATGGTCTTAGCCAGAGTGGCGGGGGCGAGGAGGAAGATATGGACGAGGAAGGGGAAAAGGAAGGAGGGGTGCCAGAAGATCAAGGTAGTTGCTCTAGTCCAACTGAGAGTACCTCGGCTTGCAACAAGGTTGTGAGTGGTGAGGATGCAACCAAAATGAGGAAGAAAAGTGGAAAGAAGGAAAGAATCCCTGGTGAGAGTGGTAAACAGTCAGTGCAGTGTTCTTTGTGCAGGAAAAGATTGTCCGGTCAGGCAGAGCTTGAAAAGCATATGCAGGAGCTTCACAAGGTCTTGCGATGTGAACTGTGCCCTTATGAGACCCAGCAGGAGGACCAACTGCAGGCTCACGTTGAGAAGGATCATCCAAGTGATGAGGAATCTATCACCAAAGAAGTGTCTACCAGCGAAGAAACTGATGGTATACTTGGTAAAGGCGAGTTCCCATGTGAGCAATGTGACCAGGTTTTCACCCAAGCCTGGTGTCTAAAAACTCACATGAAGAAACATCAGAACAGTATGGATCATGGGTGCCGGATCTGTGGACGTCGTTTTCGTGAGCCCTGGTTCCTACGTAGTCACATGAAGACCCACAACACCAAGGTAAAACCAAGGAGTAACTCTTACCTTCCGGCCACTGTCAACGAGGTGGCGCAGGACGAGTCCAACTTGGTGAATGAAGTGTGTCTGTATGAACTCTGTGCCAAGTGTGGTAACTTCTTCCATGACCGCAAAAGCTTGCAATTGCATGAGCAGGTTCACAAAAATATTGAGCAGCCTCTTAAAAACAAAAACTGCAATGAAAACAACTTTCCATCTGTCACCAAGACAAGCTTCCTGCAATGCCTAAACTTGAAACCTGCAGGAAATATTGAGAACCCTAGTGAGGGAACCATAGGGAAAAGAATCCCAGAGCTTGATCCTGTAAGCAGCTACCAAGCTTGGCAACTGGCAACAAGAGGCAAATTGGTGGAGGTAACAGAGAGAAGCCAGGGCTGGGAAGAAAGGTTAGCTGATGCGGATGTAGCATACGACAGGGAAAAAGGCGAGTATGTCTTACTCAGACAGGACAAGCGGAAGAAATCACTTGATTCCACTGTGAGTATCCCAACCAAGAAACGGAGAGGGGCTGTTACCCAAGGCTGCACTCCAGATCAGCACAGCAATGGAGAAAAGAACAGCCATGTTTCAACAGGTGAGCGAAGCCCTGAAAATCTGAGTGACTCTGAGTATCGCCCTACTTCTCGCCCTAGCCGTAAAAATTCCCAGAAAACTTCAGAGTGCTTGGAGTGTGGAAAGGGCTTCCGCACACAGCAACAGATGGTGATCCACATGCTCATCAGACATGGTGGCTTGGGTGAAACCATTGGTGGAAATGGACTGTTCCGCAAAACAACGTCTAGCCCATCTAAAACAGGGGAATCTGCAGGACACTTCAGGGATCAAAGACGGGCTGGGTTCTTGGGGGACACAGGTAAGGGAATCCCTTCTTGTTTTTACAAATATAGAAAACTCAAAGATTGAGTAATCTTACACAAATTTGACAAAAACTTCAAGTGAAACTTGTTTGCATATCATAAACTATCATTAAGCTTTCAACAAACACTTTGAGCAGGCAGTATCATTAATGAAATGCTGTGTGGATGCTCAAAATCTGAAAGGGGTTTTATTGTTACATTGGGCAGATGTTTAAATATACTTAAAGAAATGTAATTTTATCATTTGAATATTTTTGTTGATCATCTATTTATATAGATTTTGTGCCAGGATACTTCATTTTCTCTTCCATCACTGCTCAACACCTGCCTGCAATTGATTTTTTGAGTGAACCTTAAAAATGTAATTAATTGATTTAATTAATTGACAATTATAATTAAATATACTCATGCTGAATTAACTACACTAACAGCATGACAGTGCTCCCAAGAATTTGTAAACAAGAACCTAATCAGAAATAATGATTCACTAAAGGTTTGCTGCAGTCACTTTAGAAATTACGTTAAGCTTTTGTCGATACTACTTTCCTACTCTTGAAGATAGACCATCCTATGGAGTTTTTAATAAAATACAGCTGAACAAAAGCAAATCCCTGGAAGGAATGCTATCAGGAACTAAAGGCAGATCGCCAAGAATAAGATATGAGATTGACTGGCTTACTAGACACAATTTGATATATTGTTTTAGTTTACGTTTAAATTAGGGGAGACAGAGACACCTTGTGGACAAATCTTGCAGCACATCTAAATGTACATTTACGCTGTAGGGTTTTTGCATTGCTCTTAAAATGGTTTACACAAATATTCCTTTTAACTATAACCTCCAATATAAAAAAATACACTTGATGAAAGTGTACCACTATAGGGACTGGGATTGTTTTGTTAAAATACATTGTGTCACTAGTTCATAGCCCTTTGCATCTGTTTCCTGTCCTTTGATACCCAATTCTCTCGCCCCCCTCCCATACTCAGATCACGGCCTTTGTGGGATCTTTAAAGAACGTTTTTTAGTTATCAAAGTGCAAAACCAGGCTCTGAATTGTTACATTTTTAGCTTGTGGCTGTAGCTGTCCAGCCCTCTTTGCATGATGCTATTTCTGCACTTCCTGTCTCAGGAAGACAAGTTCTAAAGATTTGTGTCTTTTTTTTCCCACTTTCCCTCTCTAAGTGCAGAGCTTTATTTAAAACACAATGTTAAAACCACATGAAAATACTATACAAGACAGAAATCTCATCAAAGCCAAAATGCCCCACAGAGCACTAAATCTTACCTGAATATTGATAGATCCTGTCATAATTAGTGGAATAAAGGGGTGTGATAATAATTGTTTATAATGGGTTAGAAATATAGATTTACTATGTTTTACATCAATATAAAGACAAAAAAAATCATAAACAAAAGATGTCCACTTAGAGACTAACACAGAAAGAATGTTCTAGAACAGAGGTTTCATTGTGCAGGAGTTGAAACAGATGTCCACTCAATGCTGATATTTTTGTGTAGGTGTGAAGACTGTAAAATAAATCCACACTATTTATCTCCTTTAAACGATTCATAATCAGACCAGATTATCCTCTTGTAGCTTTACGTTTCAAAGGCACTAAAGATTGTAGCTTAGGGAAGCAGTCATGGCAATTATGTTTGTGTAAAGTTTATCTCAGAGGACCCCCCTCTCTGAATTGGCTCAAAAATAACCCCAGAGAGGGTGGAATGAAGGCTGCACAGCAGCTAGTGTAAGCCACCAAATGCAATCCAGATGGCTTGAGAGAGAGAATAGAAAAAGAGAAAGAGCTACCGAGAGATTGCAGACATGTTAAATGTAAACAAACATCTTGCTGACAGATGAGAAGAGGTAGTCCCAGGCAAAGTTCCCAGGCCCAGTAGTCTGTTGCTCCTTTGTACTTTTATTAAACAAACTTGGTGTGATTGTTCTACCAAAGTTAATGTTTTTTTTGACCTTGTGTACATAATCAATTACATGTAAACATGCTCTTTATTTTTAAATTCCATGTCACATTGTTAATTGTATATAATTAACCAATTCTTATTTAAATGTCTTTATCAATTCTTTATTTCTGAGCATATTTTTATAATTTATGTAATTTTTATTTTATTGTTATTTTTAAATGCAATGTATCCCTTTAATCTATCCCTAACTAGCCACTTCACCAATATTAAGTACCAATAATTCCCTAGAAAGCATTCTAATATGCTGATTTGGAATAAATGTATTTACTATCTGCTTAGATCAGCTTAATTTAACCTTGTTGAATAAAAATTTGTTAATATGTTTCTCTATTTAAGATCTAAAAACGAAATTAGAAAGTTTTACTGAAATACAGCTACAGTACATGGGTATGTGGTGCCATCTTGTGGTGAAACTCTGGAATTGTTTTGAATGTCAATGCTCACTGTTATTAAAATTAGCTCATTTTAATACATTCAGAGATAATTCACTACTGTTCTGTGTTTTTTTTGTGTGTGTTTTTATGACAGATAAAAAGCCATACACCTGTGAGCACTGTGACTTTTGCACCTCGGAGCCCTCAGCCATCGCTGCCCATATCCAAACGCATCAATCGGCGGTCAGGGACTGGGGCCAGAGGAGTGATGCCTTAACCAGCTCACTCAGCCAAAGCCAAACTCACCAAACCAATCACACAGGCTTCCCAAGGCTGAGAAATGCTCTTCTCCAACAGCCCTACTGGCCCTACACCACCTCAACTCACCTGGAGAGGGCAGCACTGAGTGACGCCGCTTTAAAGACAGAGGAAGAAAAGAGCAAGGGTTTGGAGGAAAGCAGCTCCACAGATAAAGCGGAGTCTAATCTGCTTAATCTCTCAGTGGACGTGGATAACAAAAAAGAAGTTTCGTCCATTCTTTTGAACAATTTGGTTAGACACCAGTGCCCTTATTGCTCCTATGCAACACACTACCCAGAAGTTCTCTGGATCCACCAACGAATCGCACACAAAATTGACAGCACTACGTTGGTGCCGAAGTGGGCCCCAAAAAATGGCCTTAAGGGGCCCAAAACGCTTCTTGATTTCAAGAGACGCACCGGGCCACCTCCATTTCTGGAGGGTAAGGACTGCCCGTCTCTGCCTCAGATGAGAAGTTACAGAACCAGTCCACCTGATTGCAGCCCTGGAGGGACGAAGAAATCAAAACCTCTGACAAGTACTGTAGAGTCCAGCTCTTCGCAAAACAAGAGCTGGCACACAGCCACAGCGCCAGGGGCATCATCGCACTCGTCCAAACACAAAACCAGCAAGTCCAGGACAGATGAGTTGGCAGGCAGTAAACACAAAACAGACATCCATCAAAACAACTCCTCACGGCCCATGGCAAGTCCACAGAAGACTGGAAACCCAAAGACAGGTAGCCGAGTGGTGGAGAGTAGTTTGCTACCTCAAGAGGGACTTCATTTTATGCTCTCTAGCAAACACAACCTCTCGGATCAGAGGAGCTCCAAAGCTCACGCTCCTCAGACCCCCAGTAAGTCTGATTCTCAAGCTCAGGATACACCGTCTGTGGCTGGGTACGACCCCTGGAACAGACTGGGCCTGAGTGGCCCGTCACCTCACTCTCAGTCCAAGAGACAGTCAACAGCCGATGGTGCAGAAGGTGTGACGGACATCCTGAGTTTTTTAAAGAACTGTAACCCTCACGATCTTGCTGCCCTCTACCACCACTGGGGCTACAGTAGTGCCATGACAGAGCAAGCAGGTAAAATATTTCAGTATTATATAATGCTGTTTTTTTTTTTAATCCAGTAAGCTTTTATTTTACAATGAATAATATACATTTTATAGTCTAATGAAATGACACATCAACCTAATATTGGCCCTGTTTATACCTTTTATTTATTGTTTACCTTGTATTATTTCTTGTGTGCTGTTGGGGATGTTTTCGTCCACTCTGGGGTGATTTTTAGTCTTAATTTGGTCACAACTTTTTTCGGATTAGCAAATGGAATGATTTTAGTTTTTTATTTGGAAACATTTTTTAGGAAAATGCTTTAAATATGTACAAAAAGTTCAGTAGCACTCAAATTTACAAACCCTTTCGTTATGTTGGAGGCTGTTTTTGCACTATTGACTTCCGTTATAATGACATTTTTTTCATTGTAAAGCCATGACCCCATATAATCATGAATTCTTGATTGTTGCTGGGTTTCCCTGTTGGGACGAGGTAAAACTTTTAATTTTTACTGTTGATCATCAGTTGCAGAGCAAAAAAGCACTCCATAGAACTCCATATAAAAGCCAGAAACTTTTTTTTTTTCTTGCACAGGCTACAGGGTTAACTGATGATCAACAGTAAAAAAAATACACATTTTACCTCTTCCCAACAGCACAAATGAGCAACAGTCAAGAATGCATGATTATATACTGTCAAAAATGTCATTATAATGGAAGTCACGGGGTAAAAATAGCCATGAACATATCAAAAGGGTAGTCAATTTGAACAGTAGACAAGGGTTAAGATTCCTTTTCGTCAGTCTTATTACAAATGTATTTGGCTCCTTTGAAGTGTCCCAAAAGAGGGAGGTTTAAACTAAAAAGTGCTAAAAAGTTCATCCAAAAAGGAAAATTATGTTAATAATCTCTCACCATAATGATGTTGTTCCAAAGCCTTGAGGCATTTGTTCATCCTTTGTCTTTATGTAAAAAGATGAATAAAGAAAAGATAAATCTGAGAGCTCCCTTATCCTCCACAGACAGCAAGGTTCCTAAACAGAAGTTACAAAAGGTACAAAAACAAGAAAGGTACACAAAAAAAAAATTCCCAAAACAGTCCAAAAGTTGTACAACTGAAATATAGTCATGCTACTAGAATACTTTGGTGCACACATAAATCAAAAATAACAACTTATTAGCCAAACATCAATAGACGGGGCTTGTGAACGTGTGCAATGTAATGCCACTGAGGAGAAAAAACTGTTGAATAAAGTTATTATTTTTGTTTTATGTGCATACAAAAGTATTCTCATTGTATAAATTTCTGATTGCATAAAGTCTGTTTTAAGTAGGGTTGTGCGATTTTGGGAAAATATCTAATTGCAATTTTTCCGACTGATTTAATTTTGTAGTCAAGATTTTAAATAATCTGCAGGCTGTGGCAACAATTCTGCGACAGCTCTTAAAAATCATATGGTTTTGTTTGGTGTCTGTGACTTTAAAACCAAAATATTCTTGAATTACCGATGTCCTGATTTTCTTAGATATTACTTTGTCTATTATTGCTTCTCATGCAGCAGACGCCACTATCCCAATTGTCCAAGCTTTCCAGTTTGTTTTTTTTTTATTTAATTTTTTTTATTGTGGGCGTTCTGCATAGTTCGGTTCAGCACAAATCTGCTTGGGCAGAGTGAAAGTGTGGTCACTTAATCGGCTAGTATCACTATTACACACAGACGGCAGTCAGGCATTTGCTCTGGGTGGGGGAAATGAAATAATACATATTTCATATCACAGCCTGTTGCATTTAGCTTATCGCAACATTTCAAATTTCAATTGTGATTCGATTTTATTAAATGCACAGCTCTAGTTTTGAGGATTTTTTGGTACATATCTGGACTTTGAATTACAAAAAACCTTGCTGTCTATGGAGGAGGAGGGAGCTGTTAGATATTACCTATACGCTAAAGCTGGGGTGTCGGAAAAAAAACATAAAATAACGGCCAATAAATTAAATAAATTTACAGTGAAATAACGGATATTAAATGACAGAAATTTCCTTAAATTTAAATTTCTGTAATTCAACAGCTGTTATTTTATGATAAATTTTTGTAATTTAATGGCCATTATTTGACTTTTTTCTGGCCCCCCAACTGCAAGATTTTTTTTACAGTGTAAATATATTAATTCATATTCCGAAAACCAAATAATATCAGGGGTTTGGAACAACATGAGGGTGAGTAAATAATAACATCATTTGAATTTTTGGGTAAACTAACCCTTTAAGATGCTTTGTTGTCAATTCAATCACAAGAGGACAATACCAAGTACTGGTGTAAATTGGCTTTAAAAAGCTTTTAACCGTTTCTAGAGGAAGTTGAACAAGTATCTGATCAGATCGCATTCAAAATATAAACACTCATGTGGTCAAATAGTAATTCATTTTGACCAACCGCTTGTGACTGGATAACTGGAAAGCATGTTTAAATGAGGGGGAATCAGTACTGATGGTACAATGACCATGTATATATCGTAGGTTTTTCAATATTGACACCTCTCTATGGTAGGGCTGATCGATTTATCAAAGTTGATTGTCATGTGCGTTTGGGCACTGAAGTAATCAGCTGTAAATCTTCAGAACCTGCCTTCAAATTAAGCTACTTTACTAGACAGATCTCACTGACAAGCTACACAAAAACATAATAATGGACAATTTTATCATCTGTGATTCAATAGCTGTTTTTGTATCTTCTTAGTAAGCTATATTTCTGTGTTACTTCTGATCTGAAAGCATGTGAAAATACCACATTTAATAACATATTTCTACCTAAGACTCACCTCGTAACTTCAGTCGAGAGTTTTGTCAATGTGTATTATTATTTGGTATTAAGTCTAAGCAAGTCTTAGTCAGGGCGAGGTAGTGCTGTATCAGTAGGTAGTGCTGTCGCCTCACAGCTAGAAGGTCGCTGGGTCACTGGTTCGAACCTCGGCTCAGTTGGCGTTTCTGTGAGGAGTTTGCATGTTCTCCCTGCCTTCTCGTGGGTTTCCTCCGGGTGCTCCGGTTTCCCCCACGGTCCAAAGACATGCGGTATAGGTTAATTGGGTAGGCTAAATCCGTAGTGTATGAGTGTGTGTATGAATGTGTGTGTGGATGTTTCCCAGAGATGGGTTGCGGCTGGAAGGGCATCCGCTGCGTAAAAACTTGGAGACCCCGGATTAATAAAGTGACTAAGCCGACAAGAAAATGAATGAATGAATGAAGTCTTAGTCAATCACATAGCAACTTTTACCCTCCTTCCCTGCATACTGCCATAGAGGTAGCAACAGCATTAGCTGTTATGTTTTTTTTAGCCTAATGATTTCAGGCTTGCCTTCAATAGGTTTGGACCTAGCAAGAACATTAACGATTATGCTTTTTAAGTTGAAGGTTTTAGGCTTGCCTTTTAATAGGCTTTGGTTACATTTTGTTCTGTTGAATTTCATGCATCTCTTATTTGCGGCATATTTGCAGTTTCCATTTGTGAGTGCCCTCTGTCCTTCACAAGACATACCTTTGATCACAGAGACATGCTTACCTGACAAGACGTGCATGAATAACAACATTTTTGCTGTATTGTAATCTCAATTTCATTTTAAATAATTATGCTGCCATACACTATGGTGTATTTTCAGCATATTTCTCCTCTTTTAAAACTGATGACATACAATAATCTGAATTAGCTTGGCAATGGCTTAGTGCACACTTCAATATTCTCCTGTTCCGATTGTGACTCTTCAATCATTAAATAGGGCAAAAAGCTAAAGTGTATTTATTAAGTCAAATCCATCATTTGCATATCCAAGTCAAGATTAAGAAACCTTATAATTGAACTACAGTTGTGGTTGAACACTAGAGAGTACAAATAAAACATGAAAGTGCCTTGAAACATGCAACAGTTCACGGAAACCGGAAAATAGGATGGATCATTTTGAGCAGCTCCTCACCCTTTTTTCTTTCAAATAGTCAGCATGTTCTTTATATCACAGCTCCGTGACAAAACAACATTGTGCTTGTTATAGTTGCATATTAGATAGCTTCAAATAGCCAGAGTCTAATAGTAAGGCTAAGCCTGTGCTCTTGAACAGAGCAGACTGTATAATTTAAATGTTTTGTTTTGAAGCTAGCTTATAAATAACCTTAAAGGGAACTTTTGCTAAATATTTATTTACCCTAAAATTATTCCAAACCCTAATGAGTTTTTTTTCTTCTGCTGAACTTAAAAGAAGATGGAAACCAATAACCTGTGACTTCATCAAGCATATGTTATTGGAGTCAATGAACACTGGTTTTAATCTTATTTTGTGTTTACCAGGGGAAAGAAACTTAAACAGGTTTGTGACAAGTAAAAGGTGGGTAAATAATGGCAAAATGTTAAGTGTTGAATGAACTATCCCTAAAATTCACAAAACATGCCAAAAAATAATTGGATTTTTAGTGGAACAGAAAACCCAGCATGTATTATCACTGAATTAGTGCTACATTGTTTATATCAGCCAACATCAGATAATATTTATTTAATTCATTCATTCATTCATTCATTCATTCATTCATTCATTCATTTACTCATTCATTAATTTCATTTATGTACTATTTTTACATTTAGACAACCTTTGGTGTCATCTAACATGAGCATAAAGAATCTTTATTAACACTTGTAATTTAAAAACAATTACGATACTTCTTTTTTTCAAGCTGAATTTTAAGACAATTTTTTCCTTGATATTTTTTTTTTTACGTTTTATTGTAACAAAATTAATATTAAGCATTAAACACGTGCATTGCATGTACTTTCTATACACATACACACACACACACACACACACACACACACACACACACACACACACACACACACACACACACACACACACACAGTGCTACATAGCTGTATATCAGCAATGGTGGGAGGCGTGTGTTGGATTGAGGACGCAGGCCAATTGTTTTAGTGTCCCACCAGTGACAATATACAGCCATATGGCACTGCTGCAAGTGTAATATTGCATTTACACAACAGTTTGATGGCATAGTCATGTATATAAAAGTAAAATCAAATCTTTTTGCATAAGTAACTAATTTCATCTGCCACTGACGTCAGAACAGCAGAAACGGATGCTAATCCACCAACGCCACTTTAGAGCTGGTAATTGAATGATTCTCTAGCGTAATGTCTAAACTTATGTCAAAAGGTGATTTCAATTTTTAACATTTTAAGATTATAAGGCTGAACGGCATGAAATGCCATTAGTCTATAGAGATTTCCCAGGATTTCTTTGTTGCAATCTAGATATCACAATAATTAACCTCGAAAAAAAAAAAAGCCAAATAACGCAAACACTACCAGATTACTGTTTGTGAAATGGAAAAACACTAAAACACGTGTGCATTTCTTCTTTTTTTTCTGTTTACTAAACTAGTATGCAGTAATAAAAACAGGAGACTCATTAGACTAACCGATGGCCAACCAAAAAGTATCTCAGGGTAATGCAAAGTGTGGCCAACACAAAATACATATATCCCTGATGTGTAAGTCCCACCTCACACCCAATACACTAGAATTACTATGGTATAAATACAGCACTACAAAAGAGAGAGATCGAATTTAACTTACCTGTTAAACAATGATTACTTCAGCTGTAGTTTGAAATTACGAGTTTGAGTTTTTCTCCTCAATGTCAATTGTCTTTGCTCTGCTCAGCTTTTAAATGATAAATATTTAAAATAGGCACTATACTTTATTAATAAACTGCAAAGTTGCAATCTAAACAACTACATTCATGCCTTAAAAAAGCCTCAAAACTTCACTATGTTGTCCAACAGCTGCAACTTTTTTTCAAACTGTAGTGAGTTTATTGATCTGCTGTCACTCTATGTGGGCCAAGTAATACACAAGGGTGTACAAGTTCTGACATTGCAGAATATCACACGGCTATCAGCCAGTCAGATTCAAGAACCAGACAGAACTGTATATATATATATATATATATATATATATATATATATATATATATATATATATATATATATATATATATATATATATATATATCATCACATTACAGTTTTTAATTTGATGCATAAACCAAAATTTGATGTTTTATATTCGCCCTACAAGTCAGAATTTATTCACCTATGCTAAATTCACACAACCGATGCAATATCTGCAAACAGGTAAAGATTGACAGACTGAAAAATGGTTGTCAGGTCACAGTACCTGAATTATTCAGGAAAGGCGCATTAACTACATTTACTCCTGAGCTGAAATGACAAATGAGAACGGCGAGGGCTAAAATGGCACGTAGCACCCCGCACGCACACACGCAGTTGTGCCAGCATGCGCACATGCAAAGGTTAATGGAACTATTGAGTAATCTCTTCATCATCGTGTAACCTGCAAACGTGTGTAAAAACATTTCAGACAGCTATCGCTGAGAGGCATCGCGAGCCTTAAACATCATAACAGCACACCAGGCACTCTCTGAGGGGCTACAGTGCCTCGACGCCACAAATATGCAAAGTAGCCAACTCAACAAGCGAATGAGCGAAAGAGCAAAAGGAGTCAAATTAAGCCACCAGCTGCTTTAAAAAAAATATTTTAGAATGCATTTTTTTCCCGTTCCACTTCATTTGAGGACATTTTGCCAGGCGGTGGTCCAGTTGGCCAGCTTTAGTGAGTGTAGTTCTGCGGAAAGACAGCAGAAATTTCTGTCAACTGTCTAGCCTGATTTCATCAGCGCTCTCTTTAGCCCTTTGAGTCACATACAATAAAGTGACCTTTCCGATATTAGACTTTCCTTTTGTTTGTGCTGTCCGATGCTTTTCCTGTTGCGTCGCTTCTGTATGGTAATAACTCATGGACTCATGTTTACTAAACGTAGCCTTGCTTACCACTGCCACCAACACTCTCAGTCACCGACAAAGCAGGCCCTTAGGGGTCGGAGCAGGTAGGACCACCAGTGCCAGGTGACGGACAGGAGCCAAAGGGACAGCATTTCAGCGCACATTCTTAAAACGCCCCGAAGGAAAACTAGATGCTGGTTGCTTCAGGTCCCACATCCACTTCTGTTACTTCAGCGTCCTTCACTGACACACACGCGCACACACGTGTCCGAGTAAATCCCCCCACGCGGACGAGGGCTGACATAGCTAGAGCGACGGGCAGGAAAAGAGCAGCGAGAGGGAAGGAGACAAGGAGAGAGGGAGGAAGGGGAAAGCAGCACACCTGACATGTGACATGGTAGCGCAGATGGGGGCACATCACAGGGCAAGGCTTTTAATTCAGTGTAATTTATGCGGTCACATGGGCCTGTGTTCATGTCAGGCTGTCGGAGATGCTCTCGTGATGCGTCGTGACAGCTCCCCATCCAAGCCCTGAAGGTAGCCTCCCATAATGACACATAAAACATACTAATGATGCTCTCTCTCTCTATGTGTGTGTGTGTGTGTGTGTCTGTCTCCATCTCGTAACCTCTCTTTCTGTTCCGTTTGCGTTCACCAACATGTTTTTCCTATTTATTTTAATTTCTCTTTCTTTGTCTGTCTGTGTGAACTGTAGGGTTGGCGAGGTCAGGGTCTCAGCAGGGGGAGTACGTGTGTCCGGTGTGCAGGAAGAGCTTCAACCAACCCAGCCATTACCGCACACACATGAGATCACACACAGGTGAGAAACACACAGTTAAAGCAAGCATACATACCAGCTTTGCAAAGCTACTAACTGGACTACTAACTTATCTATGCTTTTTTTAGAAGTCTTTCCAATCCCAAAACACTTTTTCTAATTAAAATTACAGCTTTGGTTTCACATTTGTTTGGGATTTTCATAAATTATAGCAATACATATTTACAATATAATGGAAATATCACTTTACAGTGCATCCGGAAAGTATTCATAGAGCTTCACTTTTTTCCACATATTTTTATGTTACAGCCTTATTCCAAAAAGTATTAAAATCATTTATTTCCTCAAAATTCTACACAATATCCTATAATGACAATGTGAAAAAAAATAAAAATTGTTGCAAATTTATTAAAAATAAAAAAGCTGAAAAATCACATGTATAGAAGTATTTACAGCCTTTGCTAAATACGCAGTTACACGCTAATGTCTTTTGGAATATGATGCCACAAGCTTGGCACAGCTGTCTTTGAGAATTTTTGCCCATTCTTCTTTGCAGTACCTCTCAAGCTCTATCAGGTTGGATGGTAAGTGAAGGTGTACAGCCATTTGCCTTGAAGCTTTAAATTGAGCTCAAGTTCATTCTGTTTCCTCTGATCATTCTTGAAATGTTTCAGTAGCTTAATTGGAGTTCACCTGTGGTAAATTCAGTTGATTGTAGATGATTTGAAAAGGCATACACCTGTTAAATAAGGTCCCAGGGTTGACAGTGCATGTCAAAGCACAAACCAAGCTTGAAGACAAAGGAATTGTCTGTAGACATCCTAGAAAGGATTTTCTTAAGGCACAAGGCTGGGGAAGGTTACAGAATAATTTCCGCTGCTCTGAAAGTTCCAATAAGCATAGTGGCATTTTTGGAGAGATCTGAAAATGGCTGTACACCGTCACTTACTATCCAACCTGATAGAGCTTTAGAGGTACTTCAAAGGGGAATGGGAAAAAATTCCCAAAGACAGCTGTGCCAAGCTTGTGGCATCATATTCCAAAAGACATAAGGGTGTAATTGCGTATTGAGCAAAGGATGTGAATACTTCTGTACATGGGATTTTTCAGGTTTTTTACTTTTAATAAATTTGCAACAATTTTAAAAAACATTTTTTTTCTACATTGTCAATATGGGGTATTGTGTGTAGAATTTTGAGGAAATAAATTTATTTAATCCATTTTGGAATAAGACTGTAACATAAAAAATGTGGTAAAATTGAAGAGCTATGAACACTTTTCGGATATACTGTATATTATTAAAATATCACTTTATCTAATAAATTCCTTTAAAAGAACACAGACTTCACATTAAAATCAAATTCCAACATATGTGAACACAAAAAAATTAAACATTTAAAACATTTAAACATTAAAACATTTTTTAAAAATTCCAAAAAACATTCCAAAAATATATATCATGTTTATTTTACATAATTTTAATGTGATTGTACATGAAAGTGTTTGGGCGATTCACTATAAACATAATAAATCACTAAAAATATAATAAATATTACTTTCAAGATACCATAAGATATTTTATTCAATAATTTGCGGTGTTTACATTTTTTTTTTTTATTGAAAACTGATTTATATTTAATCACACAAAATTTCTATATGTATTTAAAAATGTGCATGCATGTGTTTACCTGCAAGTGTGTTTGTATAAAACAAGTGATCGCTCTCTGTCCTTGGATGAGAGTCTTTCTTTTTTTTTTTCTTCCACCGCAAACATGTTTGCGTGTGACTCTGACCTGTGAAAATTGTATACATTATTAATCAGATGTCACTTATGGAGCTGTAATTGTGCATGCTAATAAGCTGAGCAGTCACCAGTCCAGTATGATATGCGTCAAATGCTCACTGAGAAAATGTGACAGTTTGCCCTTGTCTTCTCGTCAAACCGCACACCCACACACCCACCTACTCAATCAGGGGGTCTTTTTCATTTCATCACAGACAAGATTATGTCCATCATTCATGTTCGACAACAAACTTTCGCATGACATAAAACGGCGCACAACTTCATTAAGGATTTATTATGTTTACGTTATTTTGAATACTAAAGAACTGGAGGCTTATAATTCATTGCCATGAAACAATTCATGTTCCACAAACTGAAATCACCTTCGGAATGAATATTTACGTCCTGTTTACTATGGGAAAGGTGCTACTGCACATCATTAGCATGTACAGTAGCTGCTGTTTAGTAATATAAAAAGGTCTTGTATCATTCAGATAAATATGGTTTCTTCTTTTTAATGGGGTGCAGGGTCCGCTCAGATCAGATTTTTTTGAAGAGTGTATGAAGGTTGTGCACGCTAGCCAGACTGATCCCCAGTGACAGAGGCCAAATGCTACATTTTATGGAGCTCTCTTTCTCTATGCACATAGACTTACAATCAACGTCATCAGTGATTGCTCTCTTCAGTTTGAGCTTCCAAATGAAGTGGGGCAGGGGCCCCCGGCCTCCATTAGCATGCACACTAACTCTGTGTGTCACTTTAAATTGGTAGTTTCAGTTCACTGTCTACCACGGCCACGCTAACTGGTGATGCTAATTCAAGGCCTTTACGGCTAATGCTCGATGAGCGGGTGGATTCTGGGCTTGCACCTTAGGTCTTTTAATGGATTCTTGCTTTGAGGATGCTCAATACTTGACTTGAAAGTGACCAGAAAAGGCAAAAATGTCATTCACATCAATGAGAAATGGAATTAGCCACTAATGTACTTCTGTAATTTGATGTAAGTCCTAGACACAAGGAATTCTACTGACTGGGTTGTGCAAGTTGTCTTAAGCCCAATCCCAATTTTATTTTTGTACCCCTACACCTTGGACCTTGAGTGTGAAGGGGAAGGATTTCAAAATTTACCCCAAAGAAATGGGACACTGTAAAAAGCTCAATCCCAGCCACTAGACTTCTCTGACAGGGTATTCAAGTGTCATCGAGTGACAGAATGTTGTGGGACTGCTACACAAGAGTTATTATTATGTATTATAAATAGCAAAATTTAGCATAGTTTTTTTTTTTTTTTTTTAAACATGATTGTAAAACACAAACGCGGTTAAGAATATATTAAAACATGTGCCTGTTTGTTGTAAAACTATGTAAGAATGACAAAATAAAATACTAATTTGTGCATCTCTTTACGTCCGTGTGCAGCCATGCTGCTGTTGTAGATGTTGTAGTCTGGGAAATTTTCTTACCCCTTGGTTTTGAGTTTGGTCCTAAAAAATCTCTGTTTCAAGGGATATCTAGCTCTTCCCTTCTGCCCTACGCCTTCAAGCTAAAGAGAATTGAGACACCCCTACCCCTTCACGTAAATGTACAAAACGAGGGGTAAGGGAAAGGGCTAAGGGGTAGAACTGGTATTGGGCCTTAATATTTCTGAAGTGGGCTTGGTGACATCAGCCAAAAAGCAAAGCAATTTGATAGGCACATCAATGTGCACCAATGAATCGTTTACAATTAACATGTGATTAAAAAGTAAACAGGATAAATGTTTATTTTGATGTTTGCACCCTGCTGGATGACAGAACAAGGGAACGAGTTCCAATTTTTGCAACATTTTAAATTTGATTTCCTCTTTTTAACCCGGCCACCTTGCTCCCACAGTGATGTTTGAGTCCAATGGACTCATGGGAACTGGAGTCCATCCTCTACAGAAGCCCCCAAACAAGTATGTTTCACTTTTCGTTCGGTTGTTTGCATTATTTGTGTGTATCTTGTTTTTTTCAAAGTTTCTGTCCTGTCAATCATTTCTTCACCTTTCTTCATTCTGTGATGTGCAGTTTCTACCTGCCATCATTGTTACCATGCAGAAAACTGTAGAAACAAAGAGGATCAAATGAATCGCATTTCGTATCTACTGTACCTTAACAAGCGGAGATGCGCAGTGCTGCAGCGGGGAGGCCCACCCTTAATGAATTACCCCCTTTGCATGTGTTGCATATTACAAATGGCAAAAGCAGGCCGAGAGTAAAGGTCAAATTAAATTTGTGCCGCACTCTTGGTGATGTTCTGACAATAACCTTTAATGTAATTTGGTGGGTTCTGTTTTGGATCGGGGTTTCACTTCCCACTCCTCTAGGGAACCACTGTGCCCCTGGATGAGCTCTTACTGTGCCGCAGACCTTATCAGGCAGCAAGCGCAACCCAGCCTCAGATCGTCCTGATTAATTGTGTCTGTCTTCATTTTTTTATGAGGCATGATTTATGATAATACCCCTTTTTCAGCCCTTCGGAATGACAATTATTTCCTAGTGGATAATTCATTCATTTTTCAAAAATAATAATACGGAGAAATTGAATGGCAGACTCATTTGTTTTGCTCAGGTGTGGGGGGATATTTTTATGTGATTGCACGAGGACAACGTTGTACATCAGTCTAATTAAACACCGAAACTGGGACTCTGACAATTATTCCAGTCTTGAGCCCCAAACAGACATGGGCAGAAGGAGAAACTAGGTCTGTGTGTGGTTGTCAAGTTGGCCTCTCCCTGCAAAACTTGATATGCCCAGACTTTCGACATCTACCGTCGGTGTGACGTCTTATTGCTCAAGGGAAGGCAGGCAGGCAGAGATTCCTGTGTCTGTGAGTTTGTGTGTTTGTACGAACAGCTGACAGAAACAGAAAACAAAAGGCTGACGTCCCCTCGGGGGGAACAGTCAACCGTCTCCATATGGCATGTCATCAGCCCATCAATCATGCCACGGCCCCTCCCCCCCACCTTCCCAACCTGCCTCTGTTCTTTCCTCTGAATTGAGAAGGCAGCGCTCTCAAAGCCAGCCCTCCGACATCACAGCCACGTCACCTCTCTCTTCTCTCTAGTTCCAACCTCGGATCAGCTCTCACCTTCAGGTCCAGGCTCTGACCTCATCTTGTTTTTTTGTGTGTCCGTTTCAGGTGAGCGACCTTTCCAGTGCCGATACTGTCCTTACAGCGCCTCGCAGAAAGGTAACCTGAAGACTCATGTTCAGACCGTGCACCGTCTAGCCTTCGACAACGCGCAGTACCCGGACAGGAGACTCCGCCAAGTCCCTACCAATGAACCCATGGACCCCCCTGGATCCCTTCAAGCACCTCCTCATGACCAGCTCGAATAAAGTCTATAAGATGTCCATCAAAAACTGTTGGATGCAACTTTTAAGAAAGATGTTGTGTAATGTGCGGCATTGGATTTTTTTGTGTTTTTAGTTTAGCTCGACTTTCCCTATTTCCTTTTTATTACCACCTGACACAAAGCTCTAGATTCAAACGAAACCATGCAGAAAAGGCCAACGACAGGTTTGTGGCACGTTTACACCTCCTTTATCCAGAACTTCTGAAACACTTGAGGGCTAAAGCCTCCTCAACATGAGGTCAGAGCTGATGGAGAATGACAGTCAAACCCAAGGACTTCAGCTGATCCCCTAAACTTGAAATGCTGCCTCCGAGTTCCCCGAAATGACTAGTTGTTAATCAAAATAGCCTTAGTATGCAGTGAGTGTAGTTCATGCGTGCGTGTGCGATTGTGATTTCCACATTCTACTTCTCAGGACTTGAGTTAGACCTAATTCCAAAGCCTGCATTCATTCACACCAGTGCATAACTGCACGGAAAGGACAAATGCAGTAAAATTCAGTACTTGGATTTGAGTTCTACTGATTGTAGGCCTATATATATATACATATATAGATGAGTGTGTTTTGTCTCTGGTTGGACAAACACTTGGCACTGTCATCAAAATATGTCCTAAACACTTCTGTGTTCTGTTATACCTAGGATTTAAAGTATTTGTGTAAGCGCAGCTGTAATGTTACATGGGTGTCATATTCATAAGCAATTTCTCTAAAGAGTTTCGAGCTTAAGGACACATGCCATATTTTGCTTTAGTGTCATCTGATTGTTCCAACAAAGTCAGGAATATTATTTGTGTCTGCGCTTATTTTATTTTTTAGACGTAGCCTACACAAGTGTTTCTCTTTTTTGTTTTTCCATCAGATGTTTGCCTCAGTGGATTCTGAATAATTGTATCTCAAACAAGAAAGACTGATAATTCAATGGCACATCAGGTTTAAAGCCATGTTAAAATGCTCAAGTTTTTGAAGAAGGATCTATTTTAATCTTAACATGCAGAGTTGCAATGTTGTATAATCGTTTAAATTATTGCATCATAGAGAAACTAGTACATAGTACAGCACTAGATTTTGGGATTTAGTGTGTTTTATAATATTACTTAATAAAGCTTTAGAATGCCATATTTTTAGAGGTAAAAAGCCTAAAAGCAAAGAAATTCCGGGCCATATATTTCTATGGGTGTTGTATATGGTAATTAGTTATTAACGGATATAGTTCAGCACATCTGTGAATGGCTAATTACATTCAAATATGTACAACAGTTATGAACAACAACGACAAAATCTATCTAGAGTTTTATTGTTGCCTAAATCCTTGTGTTGGAAACTAAACCAAGAAATCTGATCCTACATATATTTTTGTTTGTTTTAGAAGAACCTCCAATGTGAATTTGTGTTGATGCTGAGCAGTCAAACAGAAACATGTTGCAGGTTCTAGCAGTGGCCCAAGAACTGAGTTATAGTGAACACGGTTCCATCACCACTGCCTTTGAGCACTTAAATCTTGGTTGCTCTATTGGGTCTCCATGTTCCTGCAGTTAATGTCTTGAAAGTTGCATTAGGTGAAATGCGACTGATTAATTGTAATTTACTAACTAACAGTAAATCATTGATTTTTTTTTTCTTTTAATTGGTATTAGTACACAAGAAACATGAATAGCTTTTCCTGTTAGCTTTTATTAAATTAAAACCCCTGAGTACTAGAGCAGAAGACCTAAGAAAACCGAATAGCATGTTATGAATTAATTTGCAATTGGATTGTTTTTTTTCTTTATGTAACACTATTAATTTTGTGGTTTGAATAGAAGTAGTAGTTGAATGTATGGAATGTATTTTGTGTGGTTTAAAAACTTTCTTTTCTTCCCTCCACATATATTTTGTTCAATTAAGTACAAAAAAAAGTCAGCTGTCATCCTCGGATCATTTCCATCTCATACATTGTCCATTGTTAAGGTTTTGAACTGCTTAAATTAAACTTTACTCTTTACTTGGACTACATTGTGTTAATATTAAGCTAGACCAGTGTTTCCCAGTCAGCGTTATGGAACAATCAGGAATATTGAGTGTTTCAGTTTACATAAACTAAAAACTTTTCACAAGTTAGCAATAAAAAAAAAAAAAATAATATAAAAATATATATATTAAAAAATTATTAAAATATAAAAAAATAATAATGCTATTATAGCAGAATTTGTGAAAGCAACACATTATAAATCTTTTGCTCAGCTTTTCCAATGAAACATCACAAATTACTTAATCTAGCCTTCCCCACAGCCGAGTGAACCGCCAATTTAATCAATATATCATGTTGGATAAATTGGACTGTGGGGAAAACTGGAGCACACCCACCTAAACACGAGGAGAACATGCAAACTCCACACAGAAACACCAACTGACCCAGTCGGGACTCGAACCAGCAACCTTCTTGCTGTGACAGTGACACATAGTGACAGTGCTCTCCACTGAGCCACCGTGTTGCCCTTCCATACACTTCTTTCTGGAGAGTGGCAAATACGTCCCAGGAGTTATGCAGTTTTGCAGTTTTTGTTTCCGCAAATCCAACTGAGGTCTGATGTCAAATTTCTCTTGCAAGTGCCATTTGTACATGCCCATCTCGAGTAAATTCACCAGAGGTCACTGTCGACTGATTTACTCACCCAACCTTCTCCTTCCCTAAACCCAACCAACAGTGTTTTTTTTAAAAGCAATCAAAAAAAAAAACCCTTGCGGCAGCCTGATTTTTTCCACATTTTAAGATTTTACCACATTCTCACCGTTATTTATTGTTTATTTTACTTTTGGGCTTTTTTATTTTTGTCTTGCTTTCTGGAACCATTATTTGTCAGACTTGAACCCTGTTGTTGCAGTGAACTTCTCTGTGTCTCAAGTTAGTGGACAAACTGGACAAATGTAACAGCAGAAAAGCCATCCATATGGAGGTAAGAGGTCAGCTGTTAAGCACAAAAATGAACAGCATCATACCACCCTGTAGCATTCGTTTTAAAGACGAAATGCAGCCATATGTATCTTTGGCTAAATAATTTGTGATCTCCAGAAATGTAGGAGTACGTTTTAGAATTTTTTTTTTTTTTTTTTTTTTTTTTTTTTATACTTTATTTAAAAAGCTTGTAAGGAAACAGATGAGAACATCTGTCTATTGTCTATTATTTTTTTTAGACTTCATTGCTTCCAATCTAAGTCTTTTATAATTTTATAATGTGGTAGCTGGTTAGGTTCATCATGTATAATGACTTTTTACAAAGTATATCTGAACTACTTTCTGTTTTGACTCAAAGCATGATAGAGCTACAGTGCAAGTCTCTAGTTTGTTTTGCTCACTGATTGGAGTTTTCTGTAAAGCAAAGTGCTAAGTAAATTAATAAATGCCAATTAACAAAAGTATATACAGTACAATCACTTAATAAAATAATAGCCTACACTCTCAGAAATAAAGATACAAAATCTATCACTGTGATGATACCTTTTGAAAAGGTACACTTTTGTACTTTTAAGTTACTGTGAGGTAAACATTTGTACTTTTAGGTATTAATATATACCTTTAAGGACCTGTTAGGAACTGTTTGAAAAGGTGCCACCCCAGTGACAGATTTTGTACCTTTATTTCTGATAGTGTATGGTGTAAAATATATAATTAAATAATTTTTACTTCCGAAGGTAATACTTTGTTTTGATTTGAGCATTAGTAGACTGTCTCCTTAATATCTGTTGACACTGCTAAACAGCCATTTAACTGACTATAAGAAACTTTGCAAGTACATGTCAATTTACAATAACCCTAACCCCAACCTAACAGTCTACTTATAATCTAATGAGAATTAATTGGCATGTAGATGCAATGTAACTTGAATTCAACAAAAGGACCATTAAAATAAAGTTTGACCCTTCCAAAATCCAACTGTTGAATCCTATAAACTAATGGCATAAGTCTCATATATTGAAGTGTAAACTTAAAAATTTTTATTAATACTACAGATATGCATGTTATATTTGGCTTTATTTGAATTAAGTACGTTTTTTAGTGATTTGTTTTGTGATGTTTCTTAACAAACTACAACAACAAAAATGCTGGATAATTTTTTTGTATAACAGAAATATTTACTGCACAAGTGACTTAAAAATATCCACACCAATACTTTGTAATGCATTTTACATGAACACAAGCTCTATCTGAAAAAGTAGCCCAATTCCTGGAGATCGTGAATTATGTAGCGAGAAGTACGTATGGCTGCATTTCATCTTTGAAAGAATTGCTATGTGGTGGTTCCTTTTTGCGCTGACCAGCTGACCGTTTACCTCTGTGGACGGCTTTCTGGCTGTTGGCATGTATGCTGGCGGACTTAAGATGCAGAGAGGAGTTGACCATGACGACAGGGTTCGAATCCGGTGAGGAACAGTTCCAGAAAACATGTAAGACAAAAACAGAAAAAAATAAAATAAACAAGTAAATAATAGGGTGAGAATGTGGTAAAATCTGAAAATGTGGTGAAAATCAGGTATGGATTTTTCTGTTTCTGTATTGCTTTTTAAAACTGTCGGTTGGGTTCAGGGAAGAAAGAGGATCGGTCAGTCGATCTGTCAGTCGACAGCGCCCTCTGGTGGATTTACAAAAACTGCAAAAAAATAAAATAAATTAGCTCCTGGGACTTATTTCGCACTCTCCAGAAATGTATACACCCGTACGTTTTCAGAATGAGCCTGGGTTGTTTTATATAGTGTATATTGTTAAAAAGGAAAATGAAAATAAAACAATTAAGGAGCAAACACTTAAAAATGAGTGATTAAATGTATCTCTGTACATTGAAATGCATTTTTATCAGTGGTATAAACATATAGGCAGAAAGTCTATTCATGCAAACTGTCATTCAAGACACTGCATTGCAGCACAGAAATACTATTATCTACATTAATGATGAACCTTTACCATTTGTATAGGTATAAAGTGTTTAAAACACACACATTAGCCAAATTATAATATACTCTAAATTGCACTTTACTCGAACAGACACATCTCTTTCTGTGCCTCTTTTTCTCTCTGACCCCTTCTCTGTTGCGTGCTCACTTACATTACTATTGAAGTCCCTTGCATTGAAATGGATGCTAATTGCATTGATCTCCTCTTGTGCATGCATAGCTACTGCTGATGCTCTCCGCTGTGACAAATGACTTGGGATTACATTGCTAAACAACTGCAGGAGTGTGTCTGATCTACTAGCCACACAATAGACCTCTGACCACAAGCAAACCTCTGCGGGGCGCTGTTCTATAGATCACAGTTAAATTTAAATAAAGCATATATAACCAAATTAAATAAATAAATAAATACATAATATAGTAACTTACCATCAACTGGAAAGAGCATGCTTTTCTCAGAAAAGACAGAAAGAAAAAGATATTGCCTTTTTATTGCTCTTTCATAACATAACACTGGCAAAGTTATAATCTTTTATATCAATTCCCTAGGAGAGATATGGGACAATTTCATTTATTAAAGAGGGTAACACTTCACAATAAAGTTCCATTAGTTTGTTACTGAACGTATTTGCTGTCATTATAGACACAAACAATGAGCAATATATGTCAGTATTTAATCATTTTTGTTAACGTTAGATAATGTATGCTAATGTTAACAATAACAACTGATTAATAATTGATGTATAAGTATTGTTCATTCTTAGTTAGTTATAGCAAATACATAAACCTAATTGTAAAGTGTGACTGAAAAAAAAACTTCATTGTCATTGGTTCACAAAACTTCAAAGTCACTGGTAAAACCCATTACCCCACACAGAACTAGCCCCTGCTTAAATCTAAAGAAAACTCTGAAGTTTTCCACAGATTTTCCGAATAGAAATCTAGTCTATTTCTTTGTTTGCGTGTAAATATATATTTGTTATGTTTTTATATTAATTCCAGTACACTGTAAAAAAAATATTTTAAAAAAAGTTATGACACATGTTTTATGCTACTTATTTCAATAAGTTAATCAGGTTTAGTGTAATGTTTCTTGTCAGTTTGACTAAAGTAAATTGAGATGACTGGAAAAGGATTCTGATTCAACAAAAAACAAGTGGTATTTACTGCACAGCTGCTTGGGCAGAGCTGAGCTCCAGCAAGGGGTAGCTTGAGCTCCAGCTCCTCCTTCCTTACACTTCTTCTACAAGTAATATTACTGGCGGTTGGGGTTAGGAGTGAGGTGGGTGTACGCATTAAAACAGCTTTAGGAGGGGTTGGAGCTCAAGCTCTCCCTCATTGGAGCCCAAGTGGCTCTGCAGCGAGCAGTGTCTCACAAAAAATAAACATAGGCTCATTCTAAAAATGTAGCCCTCTATATGTTTCTGGAGATCATGAATTATGTAACCAGGCCTATGTATGGCTGCATTTCATCTTTAAAACGAAAGTCACAGGGCGGTATAAAGCCGTTCCTTTTCATGCTTGCCAGCTGACCGTTTACCTGTATGTGAACGGCTTTTCCGCTGTTACCAGTTTGTCAGGTAGCTCGACACGTATGTCTGCGGACTGGAAATGCAGAGAGGAGTTAACCGCAACAATGAGGATAAAGTCTGGCGAAGAACGGTTCAAGAAAGCAGGTAAGACAAAAACAAAAGCTAAAAAAATAAAACAAACAAGTAAATAACAGGGTGATAATGTTGTGAAAACTGAAAAGGTGCTTTTCAATCGGTGCTTTTTAAAATGCTATCGGTTGGGTTTAGGGTAGGGGGAGGGTGGGGGTATCGGTTGGTCAGTCAGAAAGTCAGCCAGTCGACAGCGGCTTCTGGTGGATTTACGCGAATGGCACTTGCAAGAGAAATTTTAGGTCTGTAAAGTGTATAGAACAGCCTCTGATGGATTCGCAAAAACAAAAACTGGAAAAAAAGCATAGCTCCTGGATTTTGCTGCCTTTAGAAATATAGGGGTATGTTATCAGAATGAGCCTGGGTTGCAAAAAAGTACTATTGAATATATTATTAAACA